TATTTGAAGTTACTCAAACTTTCCTAAACCTCAAAAAGTTTTGCCTACATGGGTCGTTATTGCCTAATCATTTTGATCGCTACGTCCTAGTGAAAATTCTTGTTGAAAAATGTCAACTGGTTTCATAAGCATTTACATTGTAGAACACAGCAGCAGGTCTACTAGTTCCTTGTGTTAAGTTTCTTAGAGTTATTAATATTATACATTAGATTCCGATAGAAGTGAAGAGAAACAAAGGCAGGGCAGTTAAAGGATGCTAAGCATCTATTGGAGTTTCTAGTCATTATGTTTATTCACAAATGGCCTTTCAAGAAACTAGGTTTTAGTGACCTGGCTACCTCTGCTGAATTATTAAAGACACAGATTCCTGAAGAGAAAAATGACTTTCAAGTAGAAATAATTCAAAACTAAAGGTTCTATTCTGAAATCCTACAAATTTCAGGAGGTGCAGATGGTCGAGTTTGAACTAGAATCCTCAGCTCCAGACACCTCACTTTCAGTTTTGGATCTGATCCAAAGTCAGAATGCGCCCATTTTCCAACTCGGGTTCAGGTATGCATGAAATCTTGCTAGAGAAGTTGTTCTTGTGAGATTTTGACCCAAGAGCATGATATCTTGGTACTGCCAAATGTAAAGCCTAATTCTAGCACTCATTCTATTTTAAACCGAAACAGGATGAGCTCACACCTGTGCAGCTCTAATCTTAGCCGCTGTCTACACGAGTTAGATTTAAACTAGTGCCACAGGAGACAAAACTCAATATTCTATTGCTAATCTCCAGTGTGAAACAGTCTTGCAAATCGGGGGAGGCACCCTTAAATTTTTATCAGGCTCCGATATTTATCTAAAATTAAACACTTCTCTGGGCATAGCAAATTCCATCAGTAAAAGCAAGCCAAACTGGTATATGCGTAATTTATTAGAGAGAGAATAAGAATGGCCTATGTTTCACCCCTCTAGAGACTCTCACATTTGTCTTTCTTCACATTTGTATCTGTGACTAAATCCTGAGGGAATGAAACATCAGACCATATCCTTTTTTTTTCTGCCACACATTCAGACTATTTTGAGCTAGTTTCATTTTTATGCCTTCACTGGCATTTCCTTACCTACAGAGGTATTTAATTTTGTAGTCTAATGGTAATGCCGGGACATTTTCTCCACTTTGCTTACTTTTAACTGATTAAAGCTCCTGGTTATGAGTGGGCTTTAGAGTTCCTTTTTTTGGTAATTCTGGTGTATTTCATAATGATTAGAGAATGCCACCTGTTCAGAGAATTTAACTTGCCTTTTCTGAATGCAGTGGGATACTTCTAGTGCATGATAGCAGTGTCCACATAACCAGTTGTGCATAGCACACTAATGTCATGTAGATTTGCCCCCACTGTTTGCCATGTACTAAGTGTCTGCACAGATAGCGTGTTAACTTTATAAATCATGCCACTATTCCTAATGCAAATATTTATGCAATGATTACTCAGGATATATGACAGAATGGAAGTGAAGCTTCAGCCAGATCAATAAATATTGAATTGTGCTGCTAAATAGACCACTGGGTCACATTTACAAAGAAATCAATAGATTAAAAAGATGCACTAGACTTTACTCAAGTTAATTGATTTTTATATTAAAAGTAAGTATGCTGACTCTTTTTTTTTAGCAGAAAATTAACACTATTTCCATGTCCAATGGGTTTCTGTGTCTGAATATATACAGTACAATTTAAACTTAGGATAAGGTTATGTATTATATGTATTGTGGTAGCACAAAG